AGAAAAATGAGCCTCGAACTTATTACAGTTGTTAGCCAAGTAACTTTTATGATTAGACAGACGTTCGTCGTTTTAATTTGCACATGGATAGCAAGTGTCCTGATTTGATTTCAGTTGGTATATATGGGGCGTTCTCAATGAATCAGAGAACAAGAGCCCCCCCCCCTGCATGGCCAAAAATTCAGTGGTTTCCCAGTGGAACATGTTTTTACCCTCTCCTCGGATCTTCGGCGAGACTGAAGCACTGGGTGCGCGCTGTCATGTATCTTGTGTTTCTTTCTCCTGCAGCATTCTCTCCATCAGAAATCGATTAGCCGTCTCTATTTTTGGGTTAAGGTCAGCAGAACGTGCCGATCCGCCGATGCGTTGAGCAGCCCTGCTGTATGCTCAGCTGTAGCTAAAGTCCAGGCGTTGCTCCATTAATGCCGAAAAGTCCCTAATTGAGCAAGGGGAAAGAGCTGTGACAGAAGCCGGCACGGTAGGTAAGCCGGGACTCGTTCAAATAGGGAAAGCACGAGGACCAAACAGTAAGAAATGGCTTTTGGCTTTCAATAAAACTAAAAACCAGGTTGACTGAGTGGTCTCAGGATGCTGGAGTGTGTTTATGGAAACGATATGCAACTTGGCCAGAAAGGGGTGCCGAGTGGATTGTTATTAGGAAATACATGTACTGAAAAATTCTTCTTTTCGACTTGGTACGAGTGGTACCATGCTTGAAATAGTTACTGAAATGCCTCCATGGTTTGTACGGCACTACGGCAAAGGAGTTTACAAGAAAGATTGTATTTCCCAATTGTTCATTAATACAGTAACACAGCAGCATATTATCTGATACTCCCCAGAAGCCGAAATCATTTTGGAATGTCCAGAATGTCGATGATAAGAACTTTTCTCATTGTTAACGACGAGTGCCTGCCAGACATTATGCTGCCACATTTTGTCCATCAAGACAACCATTAGATTGAAATAATAGAAGACCTAACGGCTCTCGAGAAGAAGTTGCATCAAGTACTGAAAGCTGATTGAAGTTCGCATCTCTTTTACATATGGAAACCGTGTTTTGGCTAGACTGAGTGGAACCATTGATATAAAAGCCAGCAAGCAGTAATGGTTTTCATTCACTTACCGCTTTGATTGACCACGCCTATTAACACTCTATTCCATTTTGGAGCTAAAGATAGATCAAGGGCTTCTGGTGAACTACCGGTACTGAATGTCAATGCTTGCTTGTTCTCTCGATAGCAGTCTCCTGTTGGGGCATTTATAAGGAACCGTTTTTCTTAGCGTTGAAAATTCATTTGTCGGGAACAAATGAAACCCAGCTTTAATGGATTGTTCCGTTTGCCTTTTTTGTGGCGGACTGCAGCTCATGGCGGCCAATTTTTAGACGGCCGCTCATTTGCCATTTTTCTTTCTAATTGAATGATACAAAATGAAAATAAATTGTGTACGACCATTTAATGTTTGTGAAATAGATTATGAGCCACTTTTTCCTATACATTACCAGCGATCAAGACAGTTGATGTTTGTTTTAAAAAGGGTAAAGACACTACCCTTGTGTGATGTAAATAATTTGCATTTTTGGAAGAAAATAATGAATTATCTTGAAAAACTATTATAGGTTTTCCTGGCCTATTTCGGAAAATGTGTAAATAAATTAGTAACAGCAGCATTCGTTTCGAGCGAAAGAGAACGAATATTCAAAACCCCGTTTCTATTTAACAAATACAAATTTTATTTCAAGGAGGGTGCATCCAATCGTGAGTCAGCTTTCAATTTCCTGATATTGCACTGGTTTAGTTTAATTGACATTCATTTTTGCGAGAAATTGAATGCACGTCTGCAATCCTTCATTCATCTTAATTTGAACTCGATCTATATCACACAATGTGCGAAAACGAAACCAGGTTTCAAGTCGTTTTTAAAATCTACGCTCGAAATTTCATTTTACAAATTAGATCGCGCATTTTCCGAAATTAGGCCGGGAAACTATAGTTACTTAGTCTATGAAGACTATGTTGACTTTGGTGCTGCATTGTCAAAACACCTTATTGAAATTTCGATTTCGAATCATTCACGTAGTTGTTACAAATTCACCAACGACAAGATGACATCTTTGTAAAATTAGCGAGATATATAATATTAGTCATTTAAAAATGGAAAATCTTGCCGAAATTTTCCATATGCAGTTTCCAGTTTCATCATGGGGATATTTCGGTTATTTCCATTTGATGTAATTAAGTTTATCCTCGTGCATTTCATGTGTCATAACAACCCCGTCAATATATTTGCGATCTTTCTCTGTGGGCAATGACTATGGCCTAAAACTATGCTCATTCTTTCGCGCGTGCATTGGAGAATTATCAATGGTGTATCATTGGTTTGATAAAATCTCTTGTTAGGGTTCGAGGTTGAGTTCCTTCCAAGACATTAAACCAACTGTTAATCCATCAAAACAACCTAGACGAACGGCATAAGCCAACAACGCCTCTTGGTCATTTATGCCCGCCAATGAGACCATATTTTCCGCCCAAAGGCATTTTAATGAACCAATATAGCTTCAAACATCGTTGTCACGATCGCCGCCCACTTTTTCTGTCTGGTACACGACCCACATTTCTTGAAGGTTTCGTTTAATACCGTCTGATTGCTTGCAGTTAATAATACATGAAAGCATTATCCTGGATGAAAACTACATTTGCAATGCTCATTTGGACAACATTGACTTTCAAATTTTATCCTCAGTGCGTTTACGTAAGCATGTCGTGTGTACCCTCAGGGAATCGAATAAAATTTGGATGTGTCTACGGCATCAAGTGAGTCAATTTGGATACTTTGACAAGAATAATATCAGAACTAGCCATTCTATTTACATTATATACGTAAAAATAGCGATATCGATATTTGTTTAAGCGTTCAGCGAAGCTTTTGAATCCATCCATCTGTGGTTCCAACTTCAAAAGCACGACAGCATGATCATCATAAAAAGCCCCAACAGCACATTTGGTAAGAAAGGAGAATGAAATTGAAATACTTCGAAGAAAGACCTGGCAGGAACGACAAATTTCTCCGAAGCACACAGTTTTTAAGGCTTCACCTCCTCCGCTGTTTCTTCTTCAAACCTCTTTCCATATACGTTTGCAAGTGTGTTGAGAAAGCAAGTGTTTTATTATTCTTGTGACAGAAATAACGAAATATGCCGTAAAATGGAAAGCTAAGTGCTTAATCAAATGCTGGTCTAAGGAGCCCAATAGAGTTATCGTGAACAATGTTTTTGTTGAAAATTTTTGTATAATAGGTTATCTTTTTGTCACGACGTTCTCCTAAACCGGGAGTGCTGATCCGCCGCTTTTATCCGTACTCTTTATAATTAATTGGTGTGGGGTTGTTAATCGATGAGGAGGAGAAAGAGAAATACCATCATAACTCAGTAATTGATATACGTTGCCTTTTAAATCGCGAACCCAAATGTTCAGTTGGATCACTTTATAATTTTTTCTTCAACGAAACTCAATTCTCTTTTTTCACTTATACCATTCGTAATTGATTGTCAGCAATACAGACTAAGAATTCAGTTGCCAAAAACGACAAATTTCTTAACCATAAGAAGGCGACATGCCTTGTTTTCTTATAATGTTTTGTTGACGTTGGAAATGCTGCTTTCTGTAAGGATTTTACGTGTGGATTATTTTTTGTTGACACAGAATTAGGCTATTTTATGTTCGAGGACATAATCGGCTATCCATTTTGCCTATATTAAACTAGAGAAAAAAGCGAAAAGTTCATCAGAATTGCGAAGTTCCTTGAATAGTATCGTTAGCTCTCGGGTTACCCCTCTTCATTTCCGCCCAATGAGCCCTCTTGATCTTCCAGGTCAATTCATCTGTTCCCTGCGAATGTTGCATCTCTCGATCGGTCCGAAAAAAAGGAAGAAAAATTCACGCTGATGAAGAAGACACCAAATGAAGGAAGTCCCCGGGCGCCTACCCCATATCGCCCATAAAGAAGAGGGAAAAAAAGACGGCTCAAACTTCACTTCAACTGGATCTACATCAAGCCCAACCCTCTTGCGGTCAGTGCCCGCCTCGGTTCACTGACGCAAGTTTCCTGGCCACTATATGATTAAAAATCTTGAGCTGACGGCCGCAAATTAACCCAAATAGTGATGTCAATCGGAACAGCAGGGACTTGGCAAAACGTGTCTCCCTGATCACTTGGAGTAAGAGGGTGGCCAGAAATGGTGAAAATTGAAACTGTTTGACGGAAATTATTTAATTAGAGGCATAAATTGTAAGACGATGCTGAACCGATTGCCTTATAAAAACAGCAGTGAGATGAGCCTGACCGTATGGAAACGCCTTGGGGATGTATGTATTGAGAGCCACATTGCCCAACTTGAAAGTGATTTGTCTTGATGTCTTTTTACTGTTGCTCATTCTTTCCAATCAGAAACTACTGGTTCATCAAATTATTTGTTTCCGTTATCATAAAACTCAAAATTTTGTGACACTTTTACAAGTTTGTTTTGGGGTGACTTTGTTGTCAATATTTATTTGTATGTTTCACCAGACCCCCCGTTGTAGTTTATATCGCCGTTTTCAGTCAGTTTATACATGTTGTATCGCTGGTTCCTTGTTTCTCTTACGGCTTATATACACCATGATGATAAACTATTGTTGAAGTAAAATTTCACGACATCTCTTTATAAAAGAATAGCACTCGATACAGAGTCAATTAGGCCACTGGTCAGAATGGACTGTACGAGCCATCTTTATGTAGAATTGTAAACGAATCCAAGGTTTGTTTAGATTTGCTGATTTCCTCTCACAATAATAAGTCTCTGTTTCCGTTCTTGTATTTAACTGCATATGTGGCTGTTCTCTGATAAAATCACCATCATGTAACAGAATGAGTTTATTGGATCTTGGGTCCTGAAAGTGTACATTTTTAATTTTTCAACTTTCACTTTTCTTGATTTTGATCCCTGTTTTTTTTTTCAGGAAGCCCAAGATGCAATCGAAGCTATGATACCGTTTTGTGCTGGTTGGAGGCTCCAGTTAACACCACAGTTAAGCGGCTTTGTCCGTATACGACACATTTCGCTGAGCCAGGTAATTTTGTACAATTTGTGACACACTTTTTCCTGAGATTGTTTTGTTGATTTAATGAATGGTGACGTATGCTTTGTTTTGCTTCCAAGTAAGCATGAACGTTAGTAATTTATCTGCGTTTTTGGTTTTGATGTTGAAGAATTTGCGTATAGGTTCTGTGACGAGAATGGCGTGTATGATGATTGGACCAACTACTCGCTGTGCACGATTTCTCTTCAGCCCGATACTAAAAATAAGGTCAGGACGTCAGGGACGATTAGCCCACTCAGATTTTACCCTGAAACCTAGAACCATTCGCTTTGCCGGAGTTTAAGATTTAGAAAATTGTATAATAAACCAATACATGTATTTTACAATTATGTGATACAATATTTTATTTTATTCCTATTACGGGTATTATGATTATTATTGTTTGATCTTGCACATTCACTGGTAAGTAACACCTCATTGTTCTGTATACTTTCAGGATCTGGGAGTGCTTCATATTGTGTATAGCATAGGATACTCACTATCACTGGTTGCACTGACCGTTGCTATGGCAATATTTATTTATTTTAAGTAAGTATCAAGACGATTGGTTTGCTTGAATTGAAACATCACCAAAGTGATGAATGAACAGAGATGGTTGTTACTTTTCAAGAAAAATACACATGTAAAATTAATAGGGTATATACATTGTTCATATCATTTCCACTATTGGAGTTTTACGAGTTTGGTATCTCGATGTTATTGTCTTACCAACAGAAAACTACGGTGTCCTCGAAACACAATCCACATGCATCTGTTCGTGTCGTTCATCTTGAGGGCGGTGTTTGTATTCGTGCGTGACATCATTTCTGGAGTCATCCTTAACATTGGTGACGAAAGCTTTACACATCACAGCAATTTGAATCATTCAGTCAACCCCGTCAGCACACCAGAGGTTTGTAGATACACGTAAACAAATGCTGTACACTTTTACTGAAAAAGAAATGGGTAGCATATTTCTCTTGTCACATAAATCAAGACATCAATAATATCTTTAATCCATTTTCCTTTTAGGACATCCCGTGCTCTCGGGTGCTGACCATAGCCATCAGTTTTTGTCAATACGCACTAGTCTCCAACTACTACTGGCTGCTCGTTGAGGGCGTCTACCTTCATGCCTTGATCACGTTGGCAGTATTCTCGGAATCTTCATCTCTTAAGCTGTACATTGCTTTGGGGTGGGGTAGGTCAAAGTTCGATGGGCATTCTGATTTTAGACGTGTACACAGCTCAGATGTGATACTAATATCGAAGACCTTAATGTTTTATCAACGAAAACTCTGCTATTTCTAAAACTTGCAAAGCGTATTTTAAGCCCTCGGTTATCATTTTGTCCTTGAGGCCTTGGGTACTGGGTAGACATTTATCAGATCTGGACTCGTTGAAGCAATTGCTTTAGCAAACTTTCATAATAAAACCTATTTTCTGCTTTTTGTTATGTGCAGGTGTTCCAATTTTATTTGTTGTTCCATGGGTAATAGCAGAGGAATATACCAATGAAGGCAGGTAAGTTCTTACCCACAAGGCTCTGTTTCATAGTTCATTATAATCAGCATGCCAAAATGAAGCGAATCCGAGGTCTTCCGGTATCCGCAATACGCAGGGGCTCGGTCTGCCCCATCAGCGCCGCCATATGCCAACTCACCAGCTTCTTGCCTTGTTCCTGCATGAGTGGCCTTGTCTTTTTAAATACCTCCTCAACTTTTCTACCATTCATAAATACCTCAGACGACCTCCGTATTCAACAACGTGCAGCTTGAGCGCGTATTAATGCCCGCCGAGAAGTGATAATGACCGTTGCGTAAATCACTCGCTGACACCTGGATACGAGACACTTTAATCGATTATGATTGGTCAAGAGTCTCTGTGCACGCGATTGGCCATGCGCGCGCCAAGTCCATATAAGGTCATCCTTTTGGACAACTCGAACAAGGAACTTACCATAATATGGACGAGGGGTGTTCGTAAAAAGGAAACTAAAACTCTAAAACAAATCGTTGGAAATCCATCATATTGACGTCTTTTGACTCTCTGATAAAAAGGTATTTAAGAATGGGAATAAATATGTGCGGCTCAGGAGCTCGAACACTGATAATGCCCTCGCCTGCGGCTTGGGCATTTGTCGCGTCCTTTCCCCAGAGCCTGTATTAAACGCATGTTTACCAGCCATGAACATGATTATTTATTCCCTTATTAGTTATCAACTATAAGAACATTTCACGGCTGCAACCACCAGGGTCACACGGTTTACTACAGCATACTTTTAGTCAACATTGTCGATCACAGCTACAGCGTAGTCAACAATGCCACATCTATGGCGGCAAGCATTTCATACCAACAGGCAACTTTGTAGACCTACGGCTGAAAGTATTACACATACAGCCAATTATATCACACTTACAGTTTCCTTATTATTTCATCACAAAACCAATGTGATGTGATCATTTTCTCATTTGTAGATGTTGGCTATCGAACATGACCGAAGGAACTGTTTACTGGATTATCAAAGCCCCTGTGATGTGGTCTGTCGTGGTAAGTTCTGCAAAGAACTCGATGTGGACAACTAGCAAGTATATGCTACAGTGAAAACTGTGACACAGTCAAACTTTGTGACGTTTTAGGAGACATTGAATGACAGAAACTGTGTGTCGTAAACCAAATTGTAAAGATACTTCAATTCCTTAAAGACAGTAACTATAGTTTTGAAAAAAATAGGTGTTGCGGTAAGTTTTTAATTTGCCGATGTGGCAGTCAATTTGAATAAGGAAAAGGTTTCTACTTGCATACCAAGTAATCTCCAGTAAGCCTCAGTAGGAGTATGGTGTAATTTCATATCAATTTTCTGGTATGGCTTAAAACATCTTTAGTGGCAACCTGTACTTATTTAAACAAGCAATATTTTACTCATTCGTGGGTGCATGCTGCTTTGCTTACATTGGATGAGTTTTAAGTTACCTTTCATAGAATTTGCTCAGCGTGGAGAAAAATAAATTACAACTAAAGTCGACGATTCAACACTTTGTAAAGAATCCTTTGGTGTCTCAAAACATCACCTCTGATGTTTCACGAACAGATCAACTTCATCCTTTTTTTGAACATCTTACGTGTTTTGGCGACCAAGCTGAGTGCTACCAACGCCGCTGAAGCCAGAAGGTATAGGTAAGAAGGCATGGCCGATGGCTGCTTGGCTTATCCCATTAGCTTCGGCACGTACCCGTAGTAAAACACACCCTGTCTTCCCTTCACCAATTTCATCGCTCCGTCCAAAGTTTTACGTTTTAGAAAAAAAGTAGTGCAACGCAGCTTATTCACGAACCAACAACCATCTCCTTTATCATTTGTGAACAAACAAAATTAGTTACAACTATTAAGTTGTAAAAGTAGATAAAGTTGTAGAAAGTCACAAATTTAGTCAAGTCGACATGGTATATTGGTTACTGTTACGAAATCAAAGAAATGAACACGTTGTTGCAATTGTTCCAAATGAGCTGAACTCCATTGTCATGTTGTTATTCAGACGAT